ATATATACATAATTTCTACGATGTTTATATAATAGATTATAGTATGAATTGTTTAGATGAACAAGAATGGTGTTAAATCAATAACTGCTTTTGTCGTTTATCGTTATGCTTATATTCAGGAACTTTCCTCGCGAGGAGTTAAATTCAAAATAACACAAGTATCAAATGTTATTTCTAATTCTTGGAAACAAGAACCGAAAGTTGTAAGAGAGGAATATAAAAAACTCGCAGATGATGCAAATAATCTTTACTGTTCTAAATATCAGAAAAAACAACAATTACAATTACCTATAAATCAATCGTCTCCTGCTGATGGCACAAAATCCCTTTTAACTCGTTTAAATAATCCTTCGTCATCCACGTCAGCAACAGACCAAGAGGAGTTATGTAATCCGTTAGATACTTATAAGAATAATTTGATACCATTTGACGAGAATTTGATCGATAAACAGACTACATTTAGAGGTCATAAAACTAAATGCACCGTTGCTTGCAATCATTGTAAAAAAAGGAAGGTAAAATGTGAGTATTCGGACAACGGTTCATGCAAACTATGTGTCAATTTGGGTTATGAATGTTTATTCGAACAACAACAAAAGAGAGGACCTAAACCTGGTAAAAAAGTTAAATCGAATTCACCCTGGGAAGATTTTCAAAATTTAAGTAATAAATATATACAAGAAGCTCGTGAATTAGATTTTAACGTAAATAGAATAATAACTCTTCCAAGCAATTCCAGCACACCAAATGATACATTACAAAGTTCATTACAAAGTTCAGAAATATATTTGCGACATCTTACATATTTGGGATCAACATCAATCATGGAAGAATTGGACCAAACATATTCTCCGGAATTTTCGGGATTCACGACTACATTCCCTTCCTCAATAAACTATGAGAGAAGGGATTAAGTAGCCAATTAAATTCGGTGCCTGATAACTATACTTTAGATGATGAAACATATAAACTATGTTAGGTCGTTTCAAGTCGATCTTTAATTTATCCACTTCTACAGGCCGTCTTGAATGAACTTTAAAATATGATGCCAGAATAAGATTAACTTTAAACGACTTAATATGATTTGTTCCGGATACTTTATGAACGATATTGTACCATATTTATATATATATATATATTTTTTATTAGAACATTTAGAGTTTATAAACACTATAAACATTTCAAGTTTTAGAATTAGATTCGCGCTGGTTAGCGGATATCAATATGTTCAATATGCAGGGTTTTAAATATAGTTAGCGTAGATTGATGCACTTGGCATTTATGGACATTCATTTACGGGCATTAATTTATGGACATTCATTTACGGGAATTCATTTATGGACATTCATTTACGGACATTCATTTATGGAAACAAATATATGATGGTTGAAATCTATATATAAGAATTCAATTTTAACGTTTTTTTTTTTTTTTTTTTTGTAAATGTTTAATATTAGGTTGAGCGTACAAAAACAACTGATACTGTGCCTATTCTTCGTAACATTGAGTTTACATTTATCTAAAAAATAGGCAGATCAAAATTTGTTCACTTCTTTTCTAAAGCAAGATTGCTCTTTATTAATAAACAATAAATAAAGATGTAAGCATTAAATTTATGTTTCGTATCTTAAATTCGGTTTAAAAACCAAGCCTCGAAAATGTTTATTAGACTGATTAAAAAAGCAAATTCACATGTTACATCCTCTAATAAATAAAGTTGGGGCCGAAAAAATAAAAATTGAAGTTTATTTTATGTTACCGGTTGGAAACAGGCATACTATATATTAAAAATGAACAATTAAAGAATAATGCAAGGCACGTACGTACGTACGTACATACGTACCTGGGCCTGGGTATTTTATGTTCCACATTATAAAATTTATACTCCGAATGGGTTGTATGGAAGTGAATACACAGGTTATTGTGTAAGGGATGACTAAGTGTGCAGCATATAATTTTATCCCTTGAAATTAAACCAAGAATAAACTATATTAGTAACTGATATTCATATGTTTCATGCCGGTTTAAGTTCTAAAGTCAGGTCGAATCTGATACTTTCGTTAATCTTTTCGACAAAAAGTTCCTGGTATCATTCACGTCTTTTATGATTTCCAATTCGTAAGAATCGTATCTTAATTTTTGTTTGATTTTCTCACAACGTCTGCAAGTTTTTCATTTCAAAAATTTCGTAGAATTGGATTTGAAGGGCTTTTATTTTGTATCAATAAATAAAAAAGATACATCTTTCAGAAGATTTTTGTACTTTTATGAACCGTTTTAACGCTGATGGTTGATGATATATATATATATATATATATATATACGCTAATACCATAGTAAGTATACACCATAATATTCAAACTTAGCATGAAAAGAATTCTCTTTCTTTTATTATTTATTTTTATCGCTTTTATACATTATTACGTTATAGTTAATTGTACCATATTAATGTGCTGCTAAGAAAGTTTTAACGATACAAAATGTAATACATTAATCAAAAAACAATGCAATAAAATAGGTAACAGCTCTAATGAAAGAATTAAGAATGATACACAGTTAGGGTTCCACATGGGCCATGGAGCATTCGTGGATTGGTACCACATGTGCCGAGTTTGGTCTCAAAATTTTGGATCCAGTATACTTGATCTAGATCCAAAAGCTCATGCATATTCCATATTTAATTTGATTTACCAAAATTTAGATGTCATCATCGTTATCCTTATCATTGACGTCAAAATTACGAACTCGAGCTTACTGTATTTTAATAAATAAGTTTATGGATTGGAATCAGAGCACAAAATTGTATTGTAAAATGCCGGAAATTCCGGTTATGACTGACAAATTCCGACACAATTTTTTATCA